TAACATAATGTAAATTAATTCAAAGGTCCTAAATGCTTAGGAAGATTTTGACAAAAAAGTTTCTATCATTACAGTATAGAAATAATTTTTATCATCCTTAAATCCCTTTTTATTCTTAAAAATACCTTTAGTGAAGCATTCCTAAAAGTTTTACATTATATTACATAAGTTTTAGTATGTAATGGTATCATACGCATGACCAGGCATGTACTACCATTTTTAATTTATGTTTAAAATTACATCTGTTTGATCTTCCCCCCCCCCGAAAAAGGATTCGTAGTAAATGACATGCATTTCTCAATAAATAAAATCTTTGTTTTATTTTCTTAATAATAAATTTACTATATAATTGCAAACATATTTAGTTCGTCATATATCAGATGGACAATTTTTATTACCGTTTGTTGCTCTATTGTAATTAATGAAAGAATTCTGTAAAGACATTTATTGAGCGAGTACGACTCCATGATTAGCCAAATCCGGTGCGAACCGTTAAGCAGCACAAGTGTGGAATATTCTAGGAACACAACAAGTGGTATTAAGAATATTCGGAAAATTCCAGAAACCCCGAATCTGCCAAATTGATCACTGTTGCAGATTGTACATGGTGTGTGGCAACTGTCTCCCTTCGTCAGCTTCAGCTGCAAACAAATTCAATACTCAGCAGTCTTATATACTCGTCTACTGATGAGCAAATATGTCTCTGATTGCAATTACTTCCTAAGACCTCTAGTTATTACCGAGTATTGCCAACTGTTTTAATTAAAAGTTGATGGGGAAAAAAGCTTTTATTTTAGTTTTTACTACAGTTACTTTATCAAAAAAAAATTATTATTTACTAGCAACATTTACCGGTAGCGTTTTTAACACCGGAGGTGCTATTAACCTCGATCTCACTTTTCTGTCTGTATAACTTTTCAAATAAAAGGATGTTGGCATCAGATGTTATCACTATGAGTTATTTTTAAAAAAACAACGTAGAAACTGTATGGCAACAACACTCTATCGGGAATATGTTGTTTTTAAATATTTTGCAATTTTGCTGTTCAATTTTATGTGTGAAATGCGAAGAAAGTGATGTTTAATAAATAAAGTTACACAAACAAAAAGTTAACAATAAAATAACAAAAATAGTTATGTAAATCATCTTGCTAAAAAAAATTGAGCTTGGATATTATGAACTGAGAAAAGACCGAAACTTCTTAATGGCATAATTATTAATATTGGAATATCTAAAACATTGATTTTTCCTAAATTATTAATATTGGAATATCTAAAACATTAATGTTTCCAAAATTATTAATATTTGAAAAAAATATTAATATTGGGATATCTAATTTTCCTTAACCCTGCCTCTAAACAAATGCTGCTTTAAAAATTTTTGTGATTTTCCGTTATATTTTAAGGTGCATAAGTGCGAAGAAAGTGCTGTTTAAGTTAAAGTTAAAAAGTTAAACAGACAAAAAAAAAAAAGGGGGGAGGGCTGTATAAGTCATCTCGTTAAGAAAACTGAACTTTAATATGAACTCAAAAAAGACTGAAAAAGATAAATCAATAAATAAAATAAAAATGTGTATCACCCAAAACACTCTTCCGGGAAATGCAAAAATAAACTGCTCCTAAAAATTTGGTGATTTCACTGTTGAATTTTATGTGGAGTAAATGCGAAAAATACGACGCTTGATAAAAAGTTAAAAGAACAAAAAAAAAAAAAAAAAAAAGTGTTAGCAGGAATAAGTCCAACAGCAGACTGGCAATCTTCGAGTTTAACAAACCTTCTGATGTGCAACGTTAAAATCTGATTTTTTTCAGATTTTTTATCCGAAACGAACGTTAGCTCAGAAGGGTTATTAATTTCGTTTTGGAATTTTGCGTCGATTAACAATACACGGCAAATCACTTTTGAAATTGTTGCCACCAAATATTAGAGCCCTGTATTATATTTAAAGAAATTAAATAATGAAGACTCTGCATAAATGTATGAGTGTTTCTCGCACTGTAATAGAACAACGGTACCTAGAACCATCAAATTTTGAATAACAAACGTTTCCACCCGAATATGGGTAGTATCTGGAGGCCCGAAGTTGCAATTTGGAATTTTTTGAATTATCTGTGTCATATTTTATAAAGCATTTATGAGTTTTTGATTAAGAAACTCAACGATTTCAAAGGAAGCAAGGGCAGCCCTGTGCGGGAAAACAAATCATTTTTATCTCCAACGCGCGCGACTGTGTATCTGAAATTCTAAAGATATGCTCTTTTAAATATTCTACGATACTGCTGTCTCTCTCTCTGTCTATATATATAGGAGATAATATAATCAATATTATTTAGTAAATAATTTATATATATATTATGATATTTTAAATTTGGCGGCTCTTGGCGTTAACCTGAGGCAAGTGCCTTCCTTGTCCAACCTAGTAGTTTAGCCTTCCCGTTTTTTTTTTTTTTTTTTTTTTTTTCCGTGGCTTCAGGCAGAGCTACTTTTTGCAAAACTTAAAATCTCTTATTTAACTTTCAGATTCAATTAACATACTATTAATTAACAAATTATACAATTTCGAAACAATAAATGTATTTCTTTGATAATTCAAATTTTTATTTTATTATAATACATTCAACACATCATCGTAAATTAGCAAAGGTATTTCCAGCACTATATGTTTACGCACTTCGTGAGAAGTACAAATACGAAAATACTCCACATTTTGAATTGTAACACATTAATTCACTATATACATTACTTCTCTTCTGATATCTATTGTACTTCACCAGTAGTATTACTGCTATCCTCGGCCACCCTTAGATTTAAGGTCATTACAGTGCCCTGTATGGGAGATTTTAACGTACTACCTAGGTACAGAATTATTTGGCCTTTTATGTACAATTGGAGCATTATTTCAATTAATGAACGATGCTTTTCTCGTCGTATATTAGGAACGTAGCTGGTATATAATGCATTGGGATATCCGTGATTGAAGCATTTTCACCCTGCTTTACCCCCTAAATTGTTTGAGACAAATTTTCCGACACTGTCATTTATTGTTTCCAAAGTGGAATTTCAGCAACCTGAAGTTTACGAAGGTCACCCGGATTGGATTGTTTCCATATGTTTTAGCGTAATGTGCGCAAAACCCCTAATTTCATAATCGCAACGTGGAGTAAAGTTACATGCCGCCATGACGTCATCCTTTTGGGAAATCTGGTGACAAGCGACGCAAATCTCTGAGACGTTTTCCGACCAACCAGCCAGAGATGGAATGAAAAAAAGAAAAGGAAGCTCTGTGCCGGCAAGATCAGTTTTAATTTCTCGCAACTTCTTCCTCTTCCTCAAAGAACTGTCGAAATTACTTTTCGAGGATGGCGTTCAGGTTCATATTTATCCAAGATTTATTGACACTAGATACATTTTGAGTGGAATCTTTCGACCATTTTGTATCATTAAGTTACGTTACGCTAACAAGGCATTTATAATCTACATGGAGTGGAAAACGTTGTCGTGCATCCAGATACAATGATATGTGACCAAGTTTTCCAGGCCATCAAGTTTTTATATTAGTGCTGCCTGGGACATGGCATGATCTCAGAGTATTGAGATCCGATGTGACATAAAATGTTTAGTTGATCTTTGGTAGTCTTTGAAAAACTGATTTTAGGACAAAAGACGTGATTCATAATTTATATGTTGATTTTCTTTGGATGCTAGAAATACCAGTACCTGAGTTTTTCCACAATTATTGTATCATTGAGTTTGATACATTACATATATCCTGGTTAATAAGTATGCGATTTATATGTTTAAGATTATATGTTTAAGAAGAATAAAGTATGGAGCTCCCCTGTTTGATATTGTGGTTAGCAGGGCCGACTGCATGTCGTTGGGCCTAGGTTCGTATTCCGGAGAAAGCCGAGGATGTTAATAAATGTGTAGTGTCTTAACGGCATGAGGTCACTTAAAATGCCGTCAAGCCGAAAGCTTGAGAGATTTTATTAATGAAGGAGAGAATTATACCTTTTGATCCATTTCCCCAGGTATTTTCCATCAAAACTGGAATGAAGTTAAGCAAACTAATGGTTGCGAAGTTAGGCAGACTAATAGTCTCTGCTATAGCCAATGCAAGCACAAGGTAATTTCATGGTTGATGCGTTGATAATTTCATAGATCTGTCAGAGATTAGGATTAGTCATAGCAGTAACAAGTAAATAGTGCCTTTGAGCAAAACATAAGATCTTTAACTAATTTTTAAAATTGGAAATCGATACCTATTTAACAATTATGCAATTAAAAAGAATAAACTTACTTCTCGAATGTTTACTGCATCGTATCACACAGGTGACTGGCAACCTTGAACTGTCGTTGACCAAAGCTCTTGATGGTCACCTTCGATTTAGTTTTGTTATAATAATACAGCTAAATTTATGCCGGTGGACGGGTGGATAAGACAGTTGAATAATGGTAGTTAGACATGAGTTTGAATCTTAGACAATGACTTAACTGCATTGATGCTTCCCCGATATTTTTCACTTGCAGCCAGTTTCCTTTAAAAAGCTCTCTAAGAAGACATCCCTCCCCTTTAGCAGAAAGTCTCATGTGCTTTGCCTTCATTAGTTTATTAAATGTCTAAATTTTTGCCGTTGCCCCACACTTTTGAACGTTAATGTGTAAGACATGTAACCTTTAAAATTATTTAATTGATACATCTTAAAATACATTCAGTATACAACTCGTAACTTTTATGAACAACCTAAAGGATCATATTAACGAATCTAAGAATTTATTCCTGTATGCAAATATTACATAACTGATACAAAATTATTTGATTTCTATTTTTATTAGGATCTTTCCGACTGTCATATTGAGTTCAGATTAAATGAGTGAGAGCTCGTGTGTGTTCCAGATACTCAAAGCGACAATGCTGCACGAAAGTTGAATACTTTTAGCGAGATAGAAATCTCTGGAGACGTAAGTGAAAAGAAGCGCTTTGATTGTGTTGACTCACCTGGCACGGGTGATTCAAAGCAAGTCTTCTTTTCATCCATCAAACGCTGATGCTCAGATCTTGTCGGCAAATGGGACAAGGTGAGGTGAAAGGAAACGCGCGCATAGTACCTGAAACAAAATAAAGTGATCTGTCAGTTATTGAAAAATTGACTGAATTGGGCGTTAATCACTGATTCATAATGACCTCAATTTCACACTGAACTTTCATATGCGTTTATCACTATAAAGTTTTCAAACGAAAATAAATAAAAAGTAAATAAAATTTTAAAAAAATAAAAAAGTCTGGAAGGTTTCAGATTTTAAATTACGTTTAAGAAGCCATTTTTTTGTGTTACCTTTATTTATTAAATAATATGTTCTACGTACTCAAATTATAAAATTCTGTTCAATAGTAGTATCGCAAATTAATCTTAAAATGAGCATATGTTAGAATTTCCGATACGGAGTCTCGCGCGCTGGAGATAAAAATGTTTTTTTTTTCGTACAGTGTTGCCATTGCTCGCTTTGAAATCGTTTAGTTTTTTTAATCAAAAATTCGTTGAAGCATTAAAAAATCTGTAATCGATAATAAAACAAATTTCAAATTCAAATGCTTATATTCTATGGAAGATTACGTTATTCAAATTTTGATGGCTCTAGGTACCGTTGTTTTATCACAATGCGAGAAACACAATGGGAAATTTATGCAGATTCTTCATTATTTAATTTCCTTAAATATAAGACAGGGCGATAATATATGGTGGCAACGATTTGAAAAGTGATACAGCCTTTTAAATTTTGCAATGTAAAATGTCAAAACGAAATTAATAGTGTTTCAGAGCAAAAAGCCACTTTGGACTAAAATAACATACAAATAATATTTCTCTTTTTATCTACAATAAATAGTATCTACTGATGCCAACCCATAGAACTGTGTACAAAACTGGGTCTTTACAGCTCTATAATATTAAAATGAAATGCGAAAAGACTCAATTTAATACCGTTTGTGGTGTTTGTTTCTCCATTTTTCCTTGAATATAGTGATAAAATAGATCAAATATCGATAAATAAAAATACCGTAAACATTAAAATCATCAAAATATTGAAAAAATATATTCCTGTTTGATCAAAATAAGGAATAAATGTACACAGTTTTGCAATGTATGTTATTAAACAAATTTCATCATCACTGTTAGAATTCTTTCATTTTATTCTGAACGTAGAACAATTACACGTGCTTGAAATAAAGTTAGAAATTTTGCAATTGACCAATAATGGATTGGATTGGATTGGATTATTCATTTATGTCAAAGAACACGAGGGCTATTTGCCATAAGGGAGGGATGCCTTCGTAGAGGACTTTCTAAGGGAAACTGGCTCTTATACACGTTACACATGGGGAAAACCACGAAAACTTCCATGCAGTCAGTCCGTTCGCGGGATTCGAAAACCTCGAACCAAACTACCAGTGTTCAGCGTCTTTACCGCTCGGCCGCTGGTGAGCCCTGACCAATAATGGAGTGTTAGAAAATGCTTTCATTTATGATATTCATAGTTTCAAAGTCTCTGTAGTGGCCGCATGAAGGCATTCACCTGGGCATTACTACTGAACAGCCTTGACATTCATGGTATTAAATTAAGCTGTTTGCCAAATAAAGGCTGTTGTTAGCCGTAACTTGAAGATGACTGTGACTGAAACAAAAGCCACAAGTGCAATAGGTAGCACTAAATTTAGACAGACTTTTAAACTACAATAAATTAAGAGGTATCGCTGTCCTACGGGGTTATTACACCCATCAGTGCGTGAGGCTAGAAGAAACTGTAATGAGAAAGGAGCTTCTTCTCCAACAACTGGAGGGTTCCTAACCGAAACAGTTTCGCTGGAACCGATGTCCCGGCTAACTACGCGGGATATTTTGCATCACAGAAGAAAATGTGTCATTTGAAGCTCGTAGATTTTCCCCAAAGAGCTGGTTTTCACGTCAGTCAACCAATCAGTTATCCCAAAAGCTAAAATTCTGTAAAATTTTCTTCTATTGAATCTTTCGCATGCTGAATTGGGATAGTGAAAATGATTATTGATGTTAAAAAAATAGAGTTTACGGTGGTATATCATACATATGTTATATTGATTATAATAATGAAGCAAATTTTCGTAAAAAGGATATAAATTTATTATTATTTATAAGTTATATATATTTTATAAGTTATATACATTTAATACACATAAAAGGTTTTAAACCTTTTAAGTTATATCCGATAAATTACACTCTTTTGCAAAAAAATCGAAGCACCATGAAGGAAGTGGTTGTTTTTGATGAAACTGAATATGTGTATAGCTCATACACAGATAATAAAATGATTAAAAAATCAAGGTCATAGTACCTGTTTAAGGGTCACAATCACCTACTGAGTGTTTAAATTAGTAGTTGGTCGAACCTGGCGGCAATGCATGCTTGAACTCGTCGAGGCAAGGAGTGGTCCTGCAACACATTCTGCCAGGCATTCATCAGTTGTCACTCCAGATATGCGAAATTTTGTGGTTCCCGAATCTGGCGCCCTACCATGCCCCAGACATGCTCGATTAGTGATAGGTCTGGTGACCTTGCTGCCCAAGGAAGAGTATGCGATCGGTATGTGGCCTAGCATTATCTTGTAGGAAAATGGCCTCAGGATGACGTGCCATGAAAGGTAGTGCAACCGGCCGCAGGATGGTATCAACATATCGTTGAGCTGTTAAAGATGTACGGAGGATGACTAAAGATGACCTGCTGTCATAAGAAATAGCGCCCCACACCATCACACCAGGGGTTATGGCTTTACGCCTTTGTAAGACAAAGGCTGATTGGGACCGCTCTCCAGACACGAACATGGTGGTCATCTGCTTCAAGAATAAAGCGGGATTCATCACTAAACACTATACGATGCCAGTCTGATGGCAGCCATGATGATCGGCTGCGACATCACTCCAGACGACTCCGCCGATGTTGTGGGGTCAAAGGCAAACGTCTTAAAGGCCTCTGTGAGCGTAACCCCACCTCAGACAAGCGCCGTGAGATGGTGGACGGTACTACGGGAGGTATATATGTGGCTGTAGTGCGTGGAATAGTCGACAATGATACCGTTGGGGCGGTTCGGGCCTGGCGTACAATCAACCTATCTTGTCTGGCATTTGTGCTCCTTGGCCTTCCAGAGCCTTCATTTCATTTCGTCGGCAATTTCCTTGTAGCAACCATTGCTGCAACATCTTTGCACAATAGTGTCTGTAGGCTGCAGGTGGCGGCGTATTGCTCTGTATTACCATCCAGCTTCACGCAACCCTACAATGCGACCATGTTAGTTGTTTGTAAGGTCTTCGATTGATAATTCACCATTCATGCTCTTCTTCATTAAGCAGCCTGCTCTGCTCAGAAAACTTAAACTCATAATGAAAGACTGCAAGGTTTGGGACAGAACCTTTGTTATGTCACCTAGTGCACTACAGTTCCTACCCAGTCTTCAGTACTAACTGCCTCATTCCTGAGTGTCTCGTTGTATGGTACTATTGCTCTTGCACGGCATGTTAGTGTGCTATTTAGTGTATATATGAGGGAGCCCAGTACATGAACACTCTAAAGTAACTAACCTATCCAAAGCTACTATATATGTAAAATGCACCAGGGTAACTTATGTGTATTTATTTATTTATGTATATATGTATGTATTATTGTAGAACTAGCCTGTAACCAAGAGTAAAATATTTAATTATTAGAGTGGAATGTTTATGTACGTGTAATAACGTACGCATGCGCAAAACAAATATTATTGTAGCAATTTATTCCCAGTGTTTAAACCTAGGTGCACATAAAATGCACCACGTTAATCTTTAATTATTAATGTATAATATTTATGCAACAGCTGCAGTGTGTGCATCAGTATACAATTATTGTATTGTAAATTAAAATTATTGTAAAATGTTTAACTAGTTTAAAATGCGCAAATTTCAATATATAGCACCAACAAAAGTTTCTATTAAGCTCCTGACGCCGGGCTTCTGGGGCGCCAAAGAATTATCGCGTAGTACCGTTGCGGATTCCGGGCGATACCCGAAGAATCCTAGTAAGCCGCCTTGGTTGTCTGGATTCGCTCTCACCTATCACCTGTAAGGTCTTCAATATCGTCGTAATGGCATCTTTAGTTGCTTCTTTACGGAATAACAATGGCAGCAACCCCCCCCCAAAAAAAAAGATAAATTTTTCGACTCTGTTACTGGTTTTATACTTTGTGAATTGCGCACTAGAAATGGGGTTATGATCGCAATTCCTGTTCATTTGCCTTTAAACTTTGATCATTTGCATGTTCGATCAAGATGTTTTGCGTACCAAATTTCGCCACGATCGCAAAAGTCCTTTTTTGGTGCTTTATTTTTTATTTTTTATTTTTATTTATTTATTTATTTATTTTTGCAAAAGAGTGCATTAGAATTTTTTTAAAAAAATTCATTATTAACAGGTGTGTTTACTGCTTTTAAATAGGTTAATATGTTAAGCAGTTGAATTTGAAAAATAAAGTACAGATTTTTTATCACCCGGAAACTATGTGGAAGTATATTATATCTAAGCCGCATTGGAAGAAAATCTTACGTCTTGTGCAATGGTTATGTTTGCCGGTCTCATGCAGATGATAAATAACGTAATAACTTAACGGCTAAAAAAAATCGGAAAGACTCCGCTAGCGATACATCTAGCAGAAGGGGGATATTACCTTTTAAGCAATAAAATTCCTTTTCCATGCTTAAGAAAACTTTTAAGATTATAAAAATTCCGCTTCATGAAAATAAAAACTAATAGTGCTGCCTGTAAAGCAGATAAGCCGTGATAAAACGTAAAAAGAGATTTAAAATGTTACTGAGAAACTTCTGCTTCTTCTTAATTTGAAGAGGGATGGAAATAAAAAAATAAAAAAAGATTTACAAATGATTTAAAAAAAAAAAAAAAAAAAAAAAAGATTTTTACGAAGCCAGTTTATTTACTGAGAGATCTTTTTTATTGATTATTATCTTATAAACATCTACTCTTCAGTAAACAAAATCAGTAAAAAACAGCCTTTTATATGGCTTTCATTTTAGTGTAGTATTGAAAGTTTTCTTGAATGAATTTATTTTATGATTTGCTTTAAATGTGCAAGGAAAACCTCGTGTACATCGAGCAGTGGTTTGAAATTAAGAAGGCTTTTTATTAATAATTTAAATTTTTAAGCTTTGTCATTAAGCTTAAATATGTTACAGTCAAGTTTATGAAACAATCGCCTAAAAGTAGCCGAGTCGGTAAGTACCGACAGTTCGACCTGCGTTCCGATCCTAGTGAATGTACCGGGTACATGTAAGTTTTCTAGGTTTTCACCATTTGTAAAGTGAGTGCGAAACTTTCAGAAGGTCACTTTATGAAGGTAACTTTTGTGAATTTTATTCCAGTAAAATAAACAGCAAACTAACTGCTCAGTACACATTGGGAGATTTAATAGCAACGAATACATTTCTTAATAATGCAAATCGATGTTTTGATATTAACAAAGTCTTGACAAAACGTTTGGACCATTACGTTACGTTACGCTTATTATAATGTAAATTACATTGTTTATCATCCACGTGACAAGAAAAGAATCACAATTGCGCGAAAAATCTCCGAAATCTTGATAATGTAATTTCCAGCTGAAGCCAATTGAGCGATAAGATGAAAACATCGACTAATATTCGGATATCTTTACACAAATTTTGTAAAAATATAGCTCAATCAAATGTTTACTTATTCAATAAAAAATTTAAACAGCATATTTTGTACTTTCATTTAATTTTAAATTATTTCCTACCCCTCAAATTTAGGTTAATTAATGGATGTATTCGCAGTTAATGTTTTCGCTTTTCGCGTTTTATAGTGGTTGCATTGAACACTCGTATTAAGCGAGGTTTATGTTATTGATATAAGAAATCTCTTTCTCTTTCAGAGTTCAGATTATATGCTTTTCCGTCTTCATTCTTGTTCAGTGACGTGTGTCGCGAAATTTGTAGTTAGTATTCGAAAAATATGTTATTATCTTCTATGCTTCTTGAAGCAATAAATCAAATCTCTTGAAGACAATTCTTTGAGTTTGCTAACTTATCCGAGACATATTTTACTTTCGTCTTCAAATCTTCTATACGTCACTATCATGTTTAAATTGAAAATGAAGAATAAAGCGGCCCGATTAAATTGGAAAAGGTAGTGGATTGTAACATTGTAACATATCCATGGATCGTAACATTGTAACATATCGATGGATCGTAACATTGTAAAGAAGAAAAAAAAAAAAAAAGTCTGAACGATTTCAGATTTTAACAGTCGCCCCAAAAAAATTGTTAAGGTATTTTACTCCTTCGCTAATCTCGCAATCAGCTGTTGCGCTCACTTTTGCTAACCTCCCCCGTTTTAGCTTTATTATTAAGCATCATTTTCTCAGCACTTACGCTATACACAATTCAACCGCAAAATTCCGTTTCGAGACTAACAGCCCATTCGGGCTAACACCATTTTGCGTATACAGCATATCTCAAGAATTTCCGATAGACAGTTTCGCGCCCCGGACATAAAAATGTACAGTGTTACCAGTGTTCGCTTTCAGATCCTTGAATTTGTTAACAAAAAATTCTCTAAAGTTTTTTCGAAATATGAAATAAGTACTAAAACATATATAACGTTATTATACGAAGGCATTAAAGATTTTAATCAGATAGATCATGAATTAAATGCCTTTTTATTATTTAAATTAATCCTATTCAAAAGTAATAAACGAATATTTTTAAGAACTCCATCTATTGCTTTCAAGTAACTTAGTTTGTTGATCCACAACGGACAGATTCAGTTTGAAAAGTATATCTTACATTTTGCCAAATGGCAACAGACTCGAATGAAAAGTGAAACGACGCATTTAGAATGATTCAATGCAAAATCGCGTTTCGAGACAAGTAACCCTTTTGGGGCTAACAAAACAAAATAAATGACTCATATTTCTATATTTCGATTTATTTTAATATGTCAAGTAATACATGTAAATACAAAGGAATCCGTTTAAGACGTTTTCCAATAGACCCACATAAAAAACATCTCAAACTCGATTATTTTTGTCCTCAAAAGTAGTTATTCTTTAAACAGCTTATTAACAACATGCTATTAATCTTATAACTTTATTAATTGTTTTGAAATTAATAAAGCTAATCTTTAGCAACTTTAATTAATCGACATCTATAGCTAATCTGTCATTAGCGACAACTGTTATTAATTAAATAAAAAACAGTAATTAGTTTTTGGTTGTTAATTAATTAAATATTTAGAAAATTGCTAACGTTGACTTTTTCCGTCCGTTTTAAAAAACGAAACTGCAAATGATAATATTCGAAGTTGTTTTAAATTCATAAATATTTATTTCGAAACCATCTTCATGACTTTATACATAATGGTAGAAAATTACCGTCTCTTTGTAAATGGAAATAGTTCTTAGTTCTCCGTTTTCTCTTTCAAAGTTTCACTTTCAGATTTTATCAGATAATATTTGGCACTTTGCAAAATAAAATTTTTCAGCGGAAAGATTACGTAAGTTGCGACTACTTTAATGGGTTTCAATTCATTAATTACTCGACTGCGCTCAGAGTTTGTACCTTCATATTGTATCATTTTTGGCCAACCAGGTAGCCAAATGAATAGGATTGCTAAGTACTGATAGTTCGACATAAGTTCGAATGCTGGCGAAAGAGCTGATTGTAATAGACGTTTTTCGGGATTAGACCTTACGTAATGTTAAGTTTCCATAATAAAGTACTCCACGAAAGCATCCTTTCCTTTAGCCATATAGTTCTTTCGTATAGTCATTCTTTGTCTACTCAAACAAACCAGCCTTGCATATTCTTCTACAATAAGAATATTTTTGAATAATGTTTTTCAAGTATAGGGATTTTCATGAAACCAAATTTCTGTGGGTTGAAGACAACCCGTTTTCAATACTGAGTTGTTGAAGAATAAAATAATTCTATCATTAAAATTGAAGTGTGGTATTAGAAACATCTTTTATAAGTTAAAATGAAATCCCAAATATTCATAAAAATTATCCGTTGCTAATACTTTGAATTTACATTGAACATTCTCTGGCTTCTACCTCTGAAAGTCCTCTGAAAGTAAGGAGTATTTCTGAGAAACAAAGAAATATAGTTACTAAACATCACTCGTGTAAGGCTGTAGAGGCGTTAGGTGTTTTTGGAGCAGGAAACATGAAAAATGTGCAGTGTCCTCGTCGTGCCTCGAATCTTGAACCTTTCGAATACTCGTTGAGTATGCTTTCAATTACACCATGAAGGCATGCGAAAAGGAAGAAAAAAAAATACCTTATATACTCCCCCTTTTAAAGGGCAACTGGAGATTAGGGGATCCAGTTGTTAAATACTAGTGATGACGAATTATAGTCCACCATATTTTAGTTCGGATGCCTCTGTAGGGTCTTCTTTTGAAGCAGAAGAAGTGAAAAATGTGCAGTGCCCTCACCGGGATTCGAACCCCGGAGCTCTCGAATACTCGTCGAGTATGCTTCCATTACACCATGAAGGCATGCTCAAAAGAGGAAGAAACATACCTCATAAGGCCACCACCCTCTGCAGAAAAGCAAAATCCTCTTAAACTTTTTACAGTTCATCTTGCAAGGAAAGCTATCGAACTTTCCGACGACTTTCGCCACGAATGTATCAGACGTAATTCAATCGTATGAATAAACCAACAAGTTCAAACTGTGAAATTTCGTAATGGCTCGCTACCCAAGAACACAGCATATGAAGTAGTTCGCACACATGCAATACTTGCAGCCATAGATTGACAAACATTATGCATTTGGGAAGTTTCGGCATTTGTCTTCAACGAGAAAGGAAAATTTGAACGTACACAATTCGGGCCACTTCTGTTCCATTGTATCATCTGTCTTAAGATCCGTCGTCATAATTTGTCGTACTTGGTTCGCTGTTATCTTGCATTTTCGGACGTCTACTGAAGATTCTCAGTGATTAAAAAACATGAATGTAGCGATAGGTGGTCTGATGTACTGAAGATTTTTATTTCGCTGGCACAAGGGGAATTACGTACTATCAGAAGAGAATGCGGTCAGCCTTTGATTAACCTATTTAGTTTATAATTATATATATATATATATATGTTGTATGATCTTAAATTCATTACTATAATTAATCTTAGGAGATAATATAATCAATATTATTTAGTAATTAATTTATATATATATATATATATAACCCTTTATTCAGGTTTTTTTCCCCAGCATTTCCTATGCTTTCTCTGCTTAACTTTCCGACGAACCATATTAAAAACATTCTAAATTTAAATAAACGTGTATTTTTTAGTTTTGGAAAGGGAGGGAATGGTCGTCCAGCAATGGTGAAACAGGTGCAGGGGGCAAGAAAGGGTGAGAACTACTGCTCTAGCAGGATAAGGAATTCTCGTACAAAGCACTTAGTCAATGTACTACATTGGAATCGGAGACTTCTTAACGAGTGTAGACACAAAATGAACTAATTATAACTCATTTCAAAATATCTTGCATGCTTATATGTCTATGCACGGTGGTTGCCTTTTCATTCAAAACATTTCCGCATCCGAAGGGAAATTAAAAGAATATTATGATTACTCTGTTGATCATTGGTTTGAAAATTATGTCAAAAGGATACCGACAAACTTTACAATGGAAAAACATACGGGACAAATATACTGTAGAAAAATTTCACTATAAATTAAATTTCCTTAACAGAAAAATGAATCCTAAAATGTATAGCTAACACAATTTTTGAAAAATGAAGCTATATAAAGCCATGTTTTATTTTTAATCTTTTTTATTTAAATTTAGAAGGGAAAAATATACCTAAAAAGTGAAAGAATGGAATATATCAATGGTTTTAAACTGCTGACCCGCGGGCAGATTATTATCGTTACCATTAAAAACGCATCCGAAAATCTACAAATGGAACTAATTAATTTACTAACTAAACTAAACTGGACGGTATAAACAGCCATTAGAGAGCCAAGGCCGGCAGACCCTGATATCTGCTTTCTAGACTGTGGGCTCTGGGATGCTTGTGCATCTTGGATAAGTGGCCAGCTTGTCACAAATTAATTTACACTATGATATAAATCTTATTCAAAGATTTGAAAACATTGATTTGATTAATTCTTTTTAATACTTTTCAAAAGACAAACGTACAGAGCTAAGAATTTTTGGAATAAGAACAATTTTTTTGCTTGGGAAAACATGTATATGTAAGCAAAGATTTGTTTCCTTCTTGTATGTCCTAACAAAGAACCAAACTTACCGCTGAGCATGTATCATTTGTATGAGAATAATTTCTAGTAATTCTTTAGTAAGGTACAAAAATTTTCAAAAACGAAACATTATGAGACGTTGTAGAAAGAAACAAAAGAAAAAATTATAATTATTTACATACAAATATATATATTTTTCGGTATGCGTCAAAGAAAATTTGATGAATGAAAGAAAGATAACAGATTGTTAGTAGTTATTCTCATGTTTACCCCGCTTGAAAACTTTTCTAAATTGTTTATTTTAAGTTAAAAGCAAGTTATTTTGGGGTTAGTTGAACATATTAGAATTATTTGAAATAAATGTTAATCTGAAAAATTAATATTTAACTTTCAATAGGCGTGACTTGGCAAAGCGTAACTAACAGGAATTTCTTGCAGATACCAACTTTAAACTTCAGACAGAAAACCACTCTGAGAGTTGACTATAAGAGAGATCTCACAGAAGATAAACATCTTACACCTCAAGCAGTTTCAACATTACTCTAGGCACATGCATTAATAAATGCATGGTAGAAAAACGTAATGTGACATAAAAATTTTGAATGTAAGGACGGGACAGAACAGAATGCTCTGTTACTCTTAAGTTTTGATGCTAGGAAGATCTTTAGCGGAGTTTCAATTTTTACACTTTATGCTGTGCTATTCTACATTTAGCATTCAGACCACTTAGTAAGTGTTATTTTCGGATAAACATAAGATTTTCTACATACTGTGCAGGGCCCAATTAAGATAATCTGGGGGTCGTATGCATAAAATCCTTTCAAAGGCTTTAGTTCGCCCTTTTTTATTTAAACTAAGGAGAATTAAGATTATAATAAATTATATGTTTATATTAAACAGCCAAAACCCAAAGCCCTAAATTACAATGTTGTTACTGATAATCAGGTCCCAATCCTACCAGTCTTAATAAACAAGTAAGGAACCAGTAAGTAGATAGTTTTGAGAGTGTTACTGTACGGCAGAGCATATGACTTTTAATTAACCTCCCAAACATAATCAATCAGAAATTTAGCAGCTTTAAATTGCGATTTAATTATATAAATCTTCATTTACTTTTTAATGATCTACGTAACTGATATAGCTTAAAGTACATTAGTTTATAATATATTTAACTCATATTTTTTTCCTAACATTCCCAACGTTATTGCAATTAATAAAAATGTTACTAATGTCACGTAGTACACATCTCGTTACAGAACGTTGCTACTTTTTACTTTGTCGGAACGAAGACCGGAATTATGAATATTAAATTTAAACTCTCCCCCTCGAAGAAATTAATGGCGTAGAGTTCTGGAAGCGCCTTGCTCTCGTTTTCGTCGGAAAAACTCTGTACAGCCGTTAATTTTACTCAGAAAAGCGGGGATCATCACATCCGGGTAAACCGAAACCGAACTGAATTTAATGAGATGAAAAGAAACCGTTCATTAGCATGTGGTGGTTAACCAGTAACGTTTCTATCTTCTGACCCGAGCGTTTCGGCGGAAAAGACCGGCATCCGGGGTTTTTTGAAATGGTTCCTTTCTTGTAAATCCTAAATCATTACTATCTATAATACTTCAGTGAACGCGCGTGCTTCTACTAAGAAATAGTGGGGGAGGGGGGGAATGAAGTCTCAGTGTTTCCTAACGGCACTTACTGATTAGTTTCATTTTATTAAAATTTACTCGAAAGTCTCTTAAAGACTAAGATGGATTGCGTCCAAATAACTATTATTTAATATTTCTGTAGTCTGAGACACATTATTAAAAATAATATCCTTTCGTCTAAAAATAATATCCTTCGGGTGGCAATAAACAATTCTCACTAAAGAATGAATCATCCTCGACGATAGTACTCGACCGTAGGTCACACATATGGAGGAAAAACCGGAGGAAAAAAAAACATTATTATCACTGATAGGAATATAAAAAAAATAAATAAATAAAAGTAATCAAAAATAAAAAGTAATAATTAAAAAAAGAGAATATTGTTACAAAATTATAGAAAAAATTGGTAATAATCTTTCAATCTTTATTTAATGAAATTTATATTATATTAAAAAGAAGAAGAAAAGGAAAATAAAAGAAAAAAGTCTAAGATTTTTCACAGTCCACAAAAGGGTTTGGGAAGTTACTATCTCGCTGAGCTCGCAGTGTACCAATATGCTTCTCACGCACTCCTGATAATCCATTTCCTTTTGTGTTCTAAGCTTCATTATTAACTTTTAATTATTAACTCATTGCTATTTAGCTTTATTATTACTGGTTTAGATTTAAAATTTCTTTTTTCTTTATAAATTTATTATTTTTAGCGTCATTATCGTTTTCTTTGCACTTATGCCATATACAATTCAACAACAAAATCACAAAAATTTTAAAAAGAGCATAGCATCATATCTTTGGAATTACTGATTTAGTGTTATGCGCTGGCGTACATTTTTCTATTTTTTCGGTTCGTCTTATCAATGCTCAGTTTTTTTTTTTTTTTTTTTTTTTTTTTTTCAAGTAAAACAACTTTTAAAAAATTATTGGATCAAAGGGCCGATAGACCAGAAGTGCTATTAGTCTCGAAACGGCATTTTCATAGGTTCACTATAAATATCCGTTTCAACATTTCACTTGCTATATACTGTTTCCGTTTCGTTTATTATTTTCAAACTGTTATCTTCTTTCAGCAGTTACATATTTAATCATTTCAGAAGAGAAATTAAAGAAACTTATCGAATGGCAAATAAAACTACGAAAACTGGCTACCTGATGAGCCGCCATTGGGGAGGAGGGAGAAGTGCTTCTTACCTCCATGTAGAAAATAAAGATATTACACCTCGTACTTCGACTTATTCGTCTGAATGCAAAATGAATCTGAATCGTTACGCAATAGGAGAAAAATTTTGGAAAGATTCATCTAAAGATACTTTTATAAACTATAGCTACGAGTATTGCATTGCATTTAAAAGGTGCACAAATGCTGCGCAAGAACCTAGATTCGTGACATGCAAATAGGACTATTCCATAATCGTTAAAACACTAATCGTGTTGCTAGATAGCTTAAAGATAATAACTTTTATTAGTAAGATTTGTTGAACTCTGCATCAGATTTTAATAATCTAAAATTTCCCCTTTTTCTCAATAATTTCAATAAAAATATAGAAACCAAATTTATATATGCTACTATTAGAAGCTTTTTCAGTTAATTATAATTATGATGATAATTTTTATAAAAATATCAGTTGCATATAAAATAAATTAAAT